TTAAAGGCGTGCACCACCGCTGCCCGGCCCGAGGACTGGTTTTGCAGAGCCCTGGGGTCATTTGGCCAAGCGCTGACCTGCAGGATTGGGAAGCTGAAAAAGAGTCAGCACACCACACTATGCGACTGGAGGCAGGTTCCTACTGCCAGATTCTTGACCTCTCAGGCTTGGTTCATTCAGCTTCCTGAATCTACCAACCACTCGGGGTGTTGGACTGTCTCTAGCATGCGCCTTAGGAGGAAGGGCGAAGCATAAGAGCTCTGCCTCTGCTGAATGTGCTCCTCAGAGTTGGCCCACCTGCCTCTGGGCAATGGCTTGGTCTGGCTGGCCCCGATTAGAACCTGCAAAGATTCCCACCAAGATTTTGTCTGACACCCAAAGCTCTCTTTGCTCGCCCCAGAGTTTTCAGCAAACTGCCTGGTCACCACCTCTTCCCTGCTCTTAGGCCACGTCAGTTTAGGGAAGAGAGCTGGAGAGAGGCAGGGTGAGGCACTGGGAAGTAGAGCTGGGCGTGACTCCTCTGGAGGTGGGAAGTGAGGAGGGCTGCTGCTTTGTGGTGGGAACCCCAACTACAGTTTCCCTCATCTCTACCACCTGCCCCGCACGCGGCAGCCCTGGGAATGCCACTCGGGCCTCCACACCCAGGCAGGCAGGGCAGGACCTTCCTGTGTCCCTAGAAAATGGCAGCATCTAGAAGGTCAGTGCTGGGAGGCTTAGCCTTGTTCCAGAAGCACTTCAGATAAATAGGCACAGATAGCGCTCATATCTGAGTCAGGCTGTGTTCCTATGTCTCTTCCTGGAGGAACAGACTGTGGTTGTTTGTTTTTCTTTTTCTTTTTTTTTTTTAGTCTTTGGGGGCCTGCTGCCCAGCTTCCAATTAAATACATGGAGACTTTTCTTACTTATGAATGCCCAGCTTTTGCTGGGTTTGATTCTAGCCAGCTTTTCTAACTTAAATTATTCCATTCCTCTTTAACTATGTTTTGCCTCTGGGCTTTTTACCTTTCTTTATTCTATATATCTTTCTTTCCTTCTTACTCCGTGGCTTGCAGGGTGGCCGGCCCCTGGTGTCCTCCTCTCGTCCTTTTCTCCCTCCTCCCTCTTCTCTTGTTCTCCTTCTCTTTATTCTCTCTGCCTGGCAGCCCTGCCTGTCCCTCTCCTGCCTAGCTATTGGCCAGCTAGTTCTTTATTAGACCAATCAGGTGTCTTAGACAGGCAGAGTAACACAGCCCTACAGAGTTAGACAAATGCCGCATAAAAAAGCAACACATCTTTGCATCATTAAAGAACTAATTCCACAGCATAAACAAATGTGACGTCTTAAACTAATGTTCCACAACGTCTAACCCACCTGTGCCGCCCACTGCAGAGGAAGAACGTGCACATCAATGACAACGTCCTGCATTCAGCCTTCGAGGTGGGCACCCGCAAAGTGGTCTCCTGCCTGTCCACCTGCATCTTCCCTGACAAGACCACCTATCCTATTGATGAGACAATGGTGAGGGGTCAGGGCCCTCCTGGGGTAGGACCTGAGGGGGTGGGCGGGGCCAGGTGGCGGTTCTCAGCGCATCTCCTGCTCCTTCAGATCCACAACGGCCCGCCCCACAGCAGCAATTTCGGGTACTCGTATGCCAAGAGGATGATTGACGTGCAGAACAGGTGCTCCTTCTTGGTCTTGCCCCGGCCTCCCTGGAGAGGGGAGGATGGACCCTTGGGTTAGCGAGGCGTTGTCGCTGCCTCGTTTATCCAGTTTCAGAAGGACTTGGGGACACCGGGGGCACGGTCTGGGGACGAGGTCAGGAGACGCCGTGTCCCCGCAGGGCCTACTTCCAGCAGCATGGCTGCACCTTCACTGCTGTCATCCCCACCAATGTCTTCGGGCCGCACGACAACTTCAACATCGAAGATGGTCACGTGCTGCCTGGACTCATCCATAAGGTGCACCTGGCCAAGAGTGAGTGAAGCTGTCCAGCACACACGCCTGGCCCAGGTTACCTGCCTGAAGGGGCCCTGGGCTCAGCTGCGGGGTGGGCAGGGAGCTGGCTCTGGACGCAGCGCTCTGACACATCTGCCTCATCTGTAGGTAATGGTTCAGCCTTGACTGTGTGGGGTACAGGGAAACCACGGAGGCAGTTCATCTACTCACTGGTATGTATAGGGGCAAGCATGGCTGTCCCAGAAAGCTGTGCGGGGGAAGTGGTGGCGTAGGAGACAGTCCTTGAACCTTGCCAGGTCCCCAGGGGTTCAACTTTGGTTCAGTAGGAGAAAGTGTGGCCTGGATGAGGGACCTCCATCCAGGGTGAACCCTGACTGTACCCCCAACAGAGCAGAAACAGTAGTACAACCTCCCCACCAGGGGCATTTGGTACTCACTTGTAGATTTGACCAAACTTTCTGACCTCCAGGACCTAGCCCGGCTCTTCATCTGGGTCCTTCGGGAGTACAGTGAAGTGGAACCCATCATCCTCTCAGGTGGGCACCCTGCAGCTGTCCTTCCCTACAGCAGGGCAGGCCCCGTGTCTACCCTGAGGAGTGGGAGCAGACATGCCCCTGGGGGTCTGGACAGGGAGGCCTGACTGACCACCGGCCTGTGGTTCCCCACAGTGGGCGAGGAAGATGAAGTGTCCATCAAGGAGGCAGCCGAGGCAGTAGTGGAGGCCATGGACTTCCGTGGGGAAGTCACTGTATCCTTTGCCTCCAGTGATGGGCTGATGGTGAGGTCCTAGGGAGGAGGACTGTGGCTTCCCCTGGTAGGGTGGCCAACATAACTCCGTTTTGTCTCTGGTGGTGCTTTCCCGGGCAGCAGGAGGGCATCTGCTGTGTCTAGACCTGTCCCAGGAAAAGACAGGTACCTGGTAGGGCAAATGGGTAGTGCTCCTGCTATGGCCTTGACCAAGGTGTCCAGTTTGATTCAACAAAGTCAGATGGGCAGTACAAGAAGACAGCCAGCAACGGCAAGCTTCGGGGCTACTTGCCTGACTTCCGTTTCACACCCTTCAAACAAGGTGAGCTATCCCTCCCCAAACCCATAACCACCCCAGCCCGGGCTTGCAGGCTCCTTGCCGGCTAGTCCTTGGCTTCAGCACCAACTGTTCCTCCCTGTTCCCCGCTGTGGTCTCAGCCTCCATGCGGTGGCCATGGGGGTTTGGTGCCCTCCAGGCCTGGTCACCAGACCCTCGTCGGAGCCGATATCCACTGGGAAGCAGGACACTGAAGTTTAGGGTGTGTGGGAGGGAGCCTCCACCCTCCCTACCTCCTGGGGGGGACGGGATGGGGTGTCACCGGCTTTCGCCTGTCTGCCTCTGCAGCTGTGAAGGAGACCTGTGCCTGGTTCACCGACAACTATGAGCAGGCCCGGAAGTGAAGCACAGGGCAATCGGGTGCCCAGCTGGCAATGCCCAGTCGGTGGTCACCACTCTCAGACCTTGCCGAGAACTGAGGATAGTATCCAGCAACCTAAGCCACATGCTGGCCTCTCTGCCAGGGGCCTCCATGCAGCTGTCCAGGAGGGTCCATGTTTGTCCATCCTCGGGGAAAGGCCAGACCAACATCTTGCTCGTCTGCTTCTGCCCCAACCTCGGTGCATCCATGCTGGTCCTGATGTCCCTTGTCTAAGAAACCAATAAAATGGATTTTCATAAGCCTGGACTCAGAAGCTGTGTCCAGCCTTTCCCTCCCTGCAACAGAGCCTTCCTAGCTTGTCCAGTCCCGAGACCCACTGTCCCTGTGTGCTTCTTAGCTCTTAAGAGCTGTGAGGCCCAAGGCAAGAGTCCCCATGTGAAGGACCAGAGGGTGGAAATGTGGGTGTCAGGAAGCAGGCAGTGCAGGTCAGATGTGAATTGTCAGTGGGCTCAGGTATAGGACGGGGTACCTCCCCAACAGTCTGAGCTGGATTTTGGCCATGCTTAGCCCTTCCTGTTGTCTTTGCTTTTGGTGGGCCTGCCACCCAGCTTCCAAGTAAATCACACTCTACACAGGCTTATTCTTAATTACAAATGCCCGGCCTTAGCATGGCTTGTTTCTAGCCAGCTTTTCTTAACTTTAAATTAACCTGTCTATCTTTTGGCTCTGGGCTTTTCCTTTTCTATTCCTGTATGCCTTTCTTTGTTTCTTACTCCGTGGCTTGCTGTGTAGCTGGGTGACTGGCTCCTCCTTTTCAATCCTCTCTTCCCAGATTTCTCCTTCTATTTCTTCTCTCTACCTGCCAGCTCCACCTATCCTTTCTCCTGCCTGACTATTGGCTGTTCAGCTTTTTATTAGATCATCAGGTGTGTTAGACAGGCACAGTAACACAGCTTCACAGAGTTAAACAAATGCAACATAAACAAAAGTAACACACCGTAAAATTATAGTCTAGTACACCTTCTACTTGTCACACACAGGCTTCTCTGCCTCAGACTTGAGGATCTTGGTGGATCTTGATTTGGACTGATTCAGTGGGCCATTTGGGGACACAAGGATGGACCTGCAAGGAGACTAGTGATGAATAACTCAGACTTTTTTTTTTAATGTACTTTCAAGATTTTATTAATTTATTATATATGCAATATTCTGCCTTTCAGGCCAGAAGAGGGCACCAGATTTCATTATGGATAGTTGTGAGCCACCGTATGGTTGCTGGGAGTTGAACTCAGGAAGAGTTGAACTCTTAACTGCTGAGCCATCTCTCCAGCTCAGTGACTCAGACTTTCCTAGGACCCCCCAGGCCTGGCCTTGTTAGCTCCAGCCACCTGAGTGGTGATATTCAGGACCTTTCTATTCTCAATGTCAAGATGGTCAAATCCAAGCCAGTTAGGGCAGGACAGGAGAAGCTACCTAAGGGTGCTGTGGCTAGAGGCAGGTCACCTTGGGATTGCCTGTCGTGTCTGTGTCCACTGTAGCTCTGGGTCATTTCCAGGCTCCCATCCTAGATTCCATTCACCTAAGACTGTTAGGATTTTTCCTCCTCCATGATGACCTGGGGCTGGAAGCTACAGGCCCCTTGACTCCTCTCAATCTTGGAATGGAGCCGCCACTGTCCCTGAAGACTGGGGTAAGCAGAGGTGAGCATTTACTCCCAAGACGTAGCTCCAGGCAGGCGGAAGTGATGGTTGGCACCTGTGTAATACATTAACTTTCCCAGAGGGTGGTGACTCATGGCACCAGCCACATGGCTAAAACTGACAACGGGCTGCTAGACTAGTCGGGGTTCCCTAAAGGAACAGAACTGTTATGCATACATACATAGTGATTGATAGACTGGCTTACAGGATGTGCTCTGGGTAGCCCAACAATGACTAATACTGGAGAGGCCAAGAATCCAGTAATTGTTCAGTCAATGACGCTGGATGCCTCAGCAGTACCAGCCTGGCCTGGAGGACTCCCGGAGAGTTGCTGGTCTTCTGTATACTGTGTACATTGGGATCCTAGATGGACTTGGCAGCATCAAACAGGCAGAAAAGTGTCCTTCCACGTCCTGTTACCTGGGCTGCCACTGAAGGCACTCACTGCCTTGATTTAGGGCGGGTCTTCCTGCTTCAAATCATCTTAAGAAAATCCTTCACAGGTTGCCCAGACACTTGTGTTTTAGTTAGTTCCAGATGCAGTCAGAGTTGACTATTCAAACCTCTACGTCCCCTCCCCTCAGAAACCACATCCATTCCACCCCACTGCCTTTTTCCAGGTGATCAGCCTGTCTGCTGCGGTCTCATCATTTGCTCAGAATTCCTCAGCCCAACCCAACCTTCCTATACATTCTGCCTCTCACCTCCCAGAAATACTAAAGATATCCAGTTGTTTTCCCCCAACCCACTAACCCTTGGTCCTCAGCCTGCATCTGAGGCGTTTTGTCCTCCAGCAGGACAGTCCGTGGCCTGCCTGGTCTTTCACCCTCTCTAAAGCAGAGTCTGCTGGCCTCTGTCTGGGGGGAGGGGGGGGATGCTTGTGTACTGGTAACTGATTAGTTAGTGCTGCCTTTAATCTGGAGAACCAGAACCAGCACCAAGGACGCAACCCAAGGCACGCAAGCTACTCAAGAGCTATACTAGTTTGTAGTACCAACATACACCTCCCAGCCCCATCCTGGACATCTCTCTGCACGGCTTCTGGGAAGACTTCAACTTTGGGTTTTCCGGGTCTAATCAGACAGCCTGTTTAGGACTAGCTCTTCATCATCTCCCTTTCCCCTCAGCAAAATCGCCAGCTGCTTCACCCATGTTTGTAGAAAAATCCCACCTCCTGGAGAGATGGCTCAGAGGTTAAGAGCACTGACTGCTCTTCCAGAGGTCCTGAGTTCAATTCCCAGCAACGACATGGTGGCTCACAGCCAGCTGTAATGAGATCTGGTACCCTCTTCTGGCCTGCAGGGACACATGCAGTACAGAACATTGTATGCATAATAAATAAATCTTTAAAAAAAAAAAAAAAAAAAAAGGAAAAAAAAACCCCACCTCAAGGAACAAAATGCAGGGGTTCGAGCCCCACCCCGCCCCGCCTTACTCCTCCCCGATCCCGCCCCTTACCCCTCCCCGCCCCCGCCCCTTACTCCTCCCCGATCCCGCCCCGCCTTACTCCTCCCCGTCCCCGCCCTTTACTCCTCCCCGATCCCGCCTCTTACCCCACCCCGATCCCGCCCCTCACCCCACCCCGAACCCGCCCAGAACCCGCCCAGCGGCTTCTCTTCATCAATGCGGCTCTAGTGGGCGGGGCTCGTGACGTAGGGACGTGAGAAGGCCAGCCCGGAGCACGATGGCGGCGGCAGCATCTGAACCCCTGCGTGTGGGCTTCGTGGGCGCAGGCCGCATGGCGGAGGCCATCGCCCAAGGCCTCATACGAGCAGGTGGGGAGGCGAGGCCTGGTTGGGGGGCTTTCCAGTGGGAGGAGCCCTTAAGCCTCGGCGGAAGGGGTGCAGATGGTTCGCCCCAAGGGCCAGTGGGGTGAGTTCGCCCTGTTCCTGGGTCTCCAGGGTCCCTAGGTGAGCCTGCAGGAGGGAGGGTGGGTGGACGAGCCAGGTGTGGTATAGAGAAAAATAACACAGCTTGTTTTATGCAACACTGATTGTGTCGTTGAATGATATTCCTTTAAATGTATTGAATTAAAGAAAATTACCATTAACTCCATTCGTGACTTCTTTGTGGGGGTTTTGCTCTTTTTTTTCTCCCTGTTTTTTAGAGACAGTTTCTGGTTTCCTGGTTTCTCCGTGTCGCCCTGGCTGTCCTGGAATTCGCTTGGTAGACCAGGCTGGCCCTAAACTCAGAGATCTGTCTGTCTCTGCCTCCTGAGCGCTGCGATTAAAGGCGTGCGCCACCTCTGGTGGGCTCAAGTTTGACTTATATCCTTAATGTGGCTGTGGTTTTATAGTTCCCTATGTGGCACAAACCAGGGATTTGTCTTAGATTGGACTGGTTTAATGCCAAGTTAGTGTCCGACTTCCTGGCCGCCGCCTCCTGTGCCACATTCTCTGTTTTCTGTTCGGGCATCCGTGCCACTCTCAGGGGTGGGCAGCTGCGTGACATTTGAGAAGAAGAGGATTGGCTCTGTGGACTGAAGAGTGTCCGCCATCACTGGTCTGTCATCTCTAGATGTCAACAGCACCTTGCATGGGAAGGCCAAAGTGTCTCTCCTACACTGCCAGATGTCTGCTGCCTGGGCGCTGGAGGGGGCGGGGTGAGGAGGGAGGCAAACTGCCTGGCTGAGGACTGCTGGTGAACAGCAGGGGCTGGCAATCCTGGCCTAACTGCTTACAGTGTTTGGAAGACTTTACCTACAGATTGCAGGTAGAGGAAGTTGGTGACCTTTGGCTCTCTGCTTGCAGATGAACTTTAAAGTCCAGAGGGTCATGATCATTAGAGAATGGCTTCCTGCAAGTCTCATGGTATCCACATGTAAAACTGGCGCACGCCTTTAATCCCAGCACTCGGGAGGCAGAGGCAGGTGGATCTCTGAGTTCGAGGCCAGCCTGGTCTACAGAGCGAGTTCCACAGGACAGGCTTCAAAGCTACACAGAGAAACCCTGTCTCGAAAACAACAACAACAAAAACAACCTGGCAGCTCACCTGCCTGTTGGTGCTATAACAACCGTCACTGGCATGATTAGCTGCCTCTGTACCTTCCGAAAACATGATTTCCACCGAACGGGCACTTAGTCCTTCCCCTAGACATCCCAGCATACTTTGCCCTGCAAGGGAGCTTGTTGCCTGTCAGGTCTTTATCAGATAGGCTATTTTTTTTTTTTTAAAGATTGTGTGTGTGTGTGTGTGTGTGTGTGTGTGTGTGTGCGCGCGCGCGCGCATGTGTTGGGTGCCTGCTGAGACTAGAGGAGGGCACTGGTTCCACTGGAGGTGGACAGTTATGGACAGTTGGCAGTGCCATGTGGGTCCTGGGAACCTATCCCATGTCATCTGCAAGAGCAGCAAGTATTCTCAGCTGCTGAGCTGTCTCTCCTTAACCATCCATCTGCCCACCCTACTGAGCCATCTTTCCAGACCCTCCACCAGCTATCTCCCTATCCACCATGCTGCTCCAGGCCTGGTTCCTGCAGAGATTTTGCATTTTTGGCCAACAGACCATAGGTGCTCCAGTCAGCTGCCCCTTCCCTGAAAGCAGAGACCCTTGGGCCTTGTCAGGATCAGGCAGGTTCCTGGCCCCAGTGTCCCAACAGCAGCGATGGCAGTGGTGGTCACGTAGGATCGAATTCCCGGGGATTGCTCAGCACGGCGGACACGAGCATCCCTGCTGTGATCCTATGGAGCCTTAAGCTAGCAGTGGATGAGGCACGCTGTTTCCCATCCTCCCTGCCCTCACCGGCTTCTGCCTCTCGATCCAGGCAAAGTGGAAGCTAAGCAAGTGCTGGCCAGTGCCCCGACAGACAAGAATCTCTGCCACTTCAGGGTGAGTGGGACTTAGGGTCTTGTCCTTCTGAAGCATTTCCCAGGGGCAGCTTTGGCTGAAGGTCTGAGATGGTTTGGTTTGTCCTGGAGAAGGCGAGGTCAGAGGTCAGGGAGAAGGTCAAGCTTCCGGAAGACTAGAGTACCCTGAGGGTGTGCCTGTGTACGGTGGTTGTGGACACTAAATTAGGAGGGAAGGTTCCAGAAGGTAAATCTTGGCATCTGTGAGGAGCAGGGCCTGCTGGGGGTGTTTCTTAGGCATTTGAGAGTCACGGCTAGTATAGACATTTGTAACCACAGAGGCCTGAGGGCACCCACGGGATGCGGGATGATGGATGGCACTCGGGTGGGTTGTCCGATGTCCCCTCACACGGTCATTTCTGGCCCTGGTGTCTGTGCAGGCTCTGGGTTGCCAGACCACTCACTCCAACCAGGAAGTGCTGCAGAGCTGTCCTCTTGTCATCTTTGCCACCAAGCCTCAAGTCCTGCCAGAGGTTCTGGCAGAGGTGGCACCTGTTGTCACCACTGAGCACATCGTGGTGTCTGTGGCTGCTGGCATCTCTCTGAGCTCTCTGGAGGAGGTAAGTGGTGTGCGGTGTGAATACAGCCTTGACCATGAAATAAGCTCTGCTGGCCACACTTGGGAGGCAGACAGTATCCCAGACAGTCTCCAGAAGTAGTTAGTTGGCCCACCAGGGTTAGTTAGTTGGCCCACCAGGGTTAGGTAGTTGGCCCACCAGGGTTAGGTAGTTGGCCTGCCAGGGTTAGGTAGTTGGCCCACCAGGGTTAGGTAGTTGGCCTGCCAGGGTTAGGTAGTTGGTCCACCAGGGGTTAGGTAGTTGGCCCACCAGGGTTAGGTAGGTGGGGTAATGTTCTGCCACTGTACCTGGGAAGTAGGGACTCGAGGCTGCATTTAGCTGAGGTGTTTGCCTGGCAGGCTCAGCCTGCCTGACACTAAGCTCTCTCTTGTCCAGCTGCTGCCCCCGAACACCCGAGTGTTGCGAGTCTCTCCCAATCTACCCTGCATAGTCCAGGAGGGGGCCATGGTGATGGCACGAGGCCACCACGCTGGGAACGACGATGCCAAGCTCCTGCAGAACCTGCTGGAGGCCTGTGGGCAGTGCATAGAGGTTCCCGAGTCCTACGTAGATATCCACACTGGCCTCAGTGGCAGCGGTGTGGCCTTTGTGAGTATTGTCTTAACCCATACCCTGGAAGGCAAGCCCTTAGCAAAGGCCTTGCTCTCAAGGTCTCAGAGTCAAGCCTTGGGGCCTCGAGTGGTCCATGGGCTCTGCTGTCTCTCAGAACATCATGCTTTGTTGGACCATTGAGGCTGGCCCCTTTACCAAACTCTGGGTTTAGGCCTTATGGCCTCAGGTATCTGTGCCGATGTTTGGGGCCCTGTTTCTTGTGGTTCTGAGCCAGTGGTTCTCAGCCTTCCAAATGCTTCAAACCCTTTAATACAGTTTATGTTGTGGGGACCCCAACCATAAAATTATTTTTGTTGCTACTTCATAACTAATTTTGCTACTGCTATGAATCGTAATGTAAATATCTGTGTTTTCTGTTGGTCTTAGGCGACCCCTATGAAAGGGTTATTTGACTCCCAAAAGGGGTCGTGACCAACAGGTTGAAAGCTGCTGTTCAGAGCATTCTCTAGCTGGGAACCGTGTCCAGCAAAATGTCAGTTTTGACCTTCCCCCTTTCCCACTTCCAACGCTATTGCTACAGGTGTGCACATTCTCGGAGGCCCTGGCTGAAGGTGCCATCAAGATGGGCATGCCCAGTGGCCTGGCCCACCGCATTGCTGCCCAGACGCTGCTGGTAAGTGAAGGATTCCTCAGGAGAACGTTGGGAAGGCTGTGCTCCGGAGTGTGTGTGCCGTCTCCAGCAAACAGGAAGGCAAGGCTGCAGAGTCCAGACAGGCTGGGCAAATGTGTAGCTGCCCCCCCCCTTTCTCAACTCTCCCTTCGCTCTTCTCCCCAGGGGACAGCCAAGATGCTGCAGCAGGAAGGGAAGCACCCGGCCCAGCTTCGGACAGATGTGCTCACACCAGCTGGAACCACCATCCATGGGCTTCATGCCCTAGAGCAGGGCGGCCTTCGAGCAGCTACCATGAGCGCGGTGGAAGCGGCTACCCTCCGGGCTAAGGAGCTCAGCAGGAAGTGAGCCAGGCTCCAGGGAAGACTACAGGCTCCTTGCCCAGCTTCGGCCTCCGAGTGGTGAGAAGAGCCTTGAGTGGGTGTTGTAGTGTGCTCTCCTCCGAGCGTCACGGCCATCGTCAAAGACGCTGGGAAGACTTGTAAGAGACCCTCAAGATCAAGTCTGTTGCCTGTGACATTCCGTCAAGGAAGGAGGAGGTGGGGAGGGTCGCTTGGCCCTCATCTCTGATTCCAGCTCCTCCCTTCTGCACCTCTCAGCCAGTTTTAACTGTCCTAATTGCACATGACCTCATGGTCTCAGGAGGTGGTAGGATATGCAGCCTGCAGAAGATTAACTGAAGCAGGAGAGGGTTCCATGTTTGCAGATATGGGGGACATCATCATCATCCGTGCTGGCATGAGATGTTTTCATGGTGTGGCTGCTTTGGGGTCACCCACACTCCTATAAGCAACACCCCATCCATGCTCTGTAAGCCCAATAAACTCATTGGTTCCCCAAGTCGGACTTTGGTAGAATTGTGCTTTGGTTTGTCCTTGGTACCCTATAAAGAGGGGGTAAATATTTCTATTTCCTCAGGGAGACTATCTACAACATCAGGCAGTAGCCTCCTTGCTTGCCCAGGTTAACCCCATCTTCCCCTTGTCCCACCTCTAAAGACGACGATGGTTCTCTATGCATCACACAAGTGTTTCTACTTCCTCTGCACTTGGAAAAAAAGTGTCCATCTCTGCAGGCCTCCTCACCCCCCAAAGTATCAATAATCTTACTTCTAAAGAGTCATAATAGACAGTGCTGGTTCTTGCCAGGCGGTGGTGGTACACACCTTTAATCCCAGCACTCAGGAGGCAGAGGCAGGTGGATCTCTGTGAGTTCGAGGCCAGCCTGGTCTATAGAGCGAGTTCCAGAACAAGCTCCAGAGCTATAAAGAGAAACCCTGTCTCGAAAAACCAAAAAAAAAAAAAAAAAAAAAAAAACAGAAAACAGAAAACAGCTTGGCTGCTTGGTTATACAAAGCGCTGAGTGAGCTGGCCAATGATGAGAAGGCAGGTGATACAGACAGCAGAGGGGTCCAGCTGGGCTGCAGCATCACTTGCCTGTGTTGTGCAGACAGAAGACAATTGGCTTCCCTGGCTTCCAAGCCATGCTGAGTCTAGGTATGATGGAGTCCCAGGGTCTGATAGAAGGCACCCCCTCATGGGGAACCTCTTGGGCAGCCCACCTGCCAAGAGACTGATGGCAAACCAACAGATCTTTCTTTCTGGGACCAGGGCTGGGAAGGGGAACACACCCCTTCATTGCCCAGTCATGGTCCAGAGGTGACAGGCTGGGACACAGGATGTTAGCGCCTCAGAGGCAGCTTTGGGGCCATTCAGCTGTGATACTGTCATCCAGGCCTTTCTAGTGTATGCTGGTCACCTAGCCACTGCTTTCTGAGATAAAAACTGATCGATGCTCATCGTATTCTCTTTATTGTCCCACTTGTATATCCTCCTCCTACCCCATCCTATGGGGTGTTCCAGATCCAAGCATTAGATCCAGTCACAAAAAAGAAGACTAAAACAGGGTGGCTGATGACGTTGACTAGTTTCACCTTTATTACACAAGTGCCATTATACCATCTGGCCAGGTGAACTTAGCAAGGGTGAGTGTCAGAAAAAGGGCCCTACAATAAGTTACGAAATTCACAAGCCCAAGATCCTATTGAGGGCAGCTGATGGGTCAAGATGCTCTTGTGAGCCCATTTGGAAGAGGCTGGACTGTACCAGGTCCCAGCTGGGCTTCCCATAGTCAGTCCTAACTAGGTACCTAACTAGGTAGTGTCAAGGGCTCATCCTCAGAGGACCAACCTTCTAGCTTGATTTATGCCCCTCCGGTCACACCATTTTGTTCACCTGTAGCTCAGCTGCTCTCATTTTCCAAGTACATGGACCTTGGGGACAAGGCTGCCTGTGACCACGGCAAGCTCGCAACCCCCAAAGGCGGTGGTGGTGGTGGCTCCAACAGAACTCACACCCACCTTTCTGTGCTGGGTGTCTGCTCCAGACACTGCGTTTATGAATCCAAGGCAGGACCACCTACCCGAAAAGGCTGCCTATACTTCCCAGGCCAAAGGATCACTCTACTTTGCGGGGAACAGGCAGGCCTCTGGGGCAAGAGATCCAGGATTCCCTCTGGGGCAAGAGATCCAGGATTCCCGCACGATGCCTTTTACGTAGCAGGTAGCAATGGCTGCTGGAGAAAGGGGCTGCAGTTTCACCTTCCTTTCTAGTTCATGCAACTCGGTGCCCGTAGGGAACAGCAGTGCAACCCAGGTAGGTACACAGTGAGAGCAGAAGGCTCTCTTGAGGGGCCCATGAGCCCCTAGGGAGCCCCATCAGACACTAAAGGTGAGGCAACTGCGCATCTTAGGCCCAGCTGCCACTGGGGCTAAGGCCGCTGTGCAACTGGATATGCAGTACTGCAAGCCCCTGAGATATAGGACCTATTGCTGGGACATATGGGCACCTGGGCAAAGCAGCCCCCTCCACAACCAGGGCTCGGCCACCAGCACCTATGGCATGTAAAGAACACCAGCATATGCCAGCCTAAAAAAAAAGAAAAGAAATACACTTTTAAAAAATAGTGCTGCTGTTTGAACTCAGGGTCTCGGGCATCCTAGCAAGCACCATAGCATCCCTAGCCTGAGATGATACCTTGGCACCTTCTCAGGGGCGTCTGTCTCCCTAGCCCAGTGAATGGTAGTGTACAGACACAAACCTGGCAGGAACGCTGTGTGACCCAGTCAGCCCACCCTTGTTTATAGGGCAGCAGCAATATGGGGCCATGGAAACCTCCTGGACCTTGTGTCCCTAGGTGAAGGGGGCTTGGACAGTTAGAGAGGCCGGTGAGAGGTCTCACTCCTGAGCCCTCCTAGTCTTTGTCAACTCTAGTCCATCTGGGCCCAGGCCAAAGGAGGAAATACAATAGAAAGGACAAAGACAGAAACGGATGGAAACCTCTCCAAAAGAATAGTACAGGTAGCCTAGGCTGGAGCGGCTACTAGAGGCTTTCCAGGCTGGATGTAAATCCAAGGCCCAGGCAGGTCTGCCTTTCTGCAGACCTGGAAGTAGGTCTATGAAAGCCTGATGGCAGCTCCTAGCCTGGGTGCCTGGCTGATATGGAAGCTGCTGATATAAATACATTAGGCTTCTGAACCCCCACCCAAGTTGCTAGTGCTGGAGACTCTCTACCAACCATGACTGCCCAAGGTTCTCTAGGTCTTTAGGCTTGCGGAGGCCAGGGACATAGGTGACCAGATGGGCTCCAGTGTCTGCTACCTGAGCCTCCGTTCTCCTGTTCCATGTTGTCCCTCAGTTCTTAATATTTGTGTAGATTTTTGACTGGGGTGCAGTGTGGTTCCAAGCAACTATATTCTTGGACTTACATGGAGACCACTTTTGGAGACCTCATCCAAGGCTCCATCCATTGCCAAACTCTTGCATCCCGAGCCCTTCCCTACTTCATGTTTTCAAGGCTCAGACTATGAGGAGAGACATGAATCAGGGGAGAGTACAAGGACAGGGGCTCAGGACAGTACTTCTGCAAAGGCAGCATTGCCCTTCCTTAAGGCACAGGGGCCTCAGCTCTAGACCACCAGGAGCAATCTGAATCCACAGCTGGACAGAGCCGCAGAGTGATTCAGAAGCTGGACATTCCCCTGAGCCTTTGCTCCTTCAACCTGGGCCACCCAGCAATAGTTCCTCGGCGACACCCTTGGCAATACCAGGAGGTGGATGTGTCTAGGGGGAGGGTAGGAGTTGACTCTAAGGCACTGCAGAGTTCCCAGATGGTTGCAAAGGCTATATAGCCTGTTTCCAGGTAGATCAGATAGCCCCAGAAGTAGACAAAGTGGTTTGTGGTTTGTCCTGCCATTGGAATCTACTATACTCTGCTGCATCCAAAACCTCACCAAGTACTGGGCTTCCATTTCCCAGCTTCCCAGTCTCTTGTGAGCACACCACCCCAGCCAAGGGATGGGGGCCTAGCTTGGGCTCTGACCCACATCACCAGGGCCTTCAGTTATCAGAGCAAGAGAGCCCAGAGACCACCTCACTCGGCCAGCCAGCACTCATGCTTCTCTGTGAAGAGCATCTTTAAAAACAGGTTTAATGTGTTTTTTGTTTTTAAAACAAAACCAAGTGCTTTCCCACTGAGATGAGAACAGGTAGCACCAGGGAGGCAATGAAACAGAAGCAGCAGCCTCATCCAGTGCTCATGGGGGTAAGGGTGAGCCCCACAGGGGCCAGAATGGAGGTCCAGTCAACTGTTCTCCAGGAGGTGCTTGTGCTTATGGGCCCACATGTGCCTACCCGGCTTCTTTAAGCTATTTCCCCAAGACGCTGTGGATCACGGGGCAGGGCATCCTTTACCAACAGAACTCCTCCAAGCTGTGCTGGGCTTGCACCCCTGGACCTCTACAGTGGACTATACCAGGGAGAAAAGGTGGAAGGTGGCAGACTGTGTATGCCCCCTCTCTCCCAGTGCAGCAGGAAAATAAGACCAGTGGGCCACAGTCGTCACACGCCATCACGAGACGCTGCTGGTGAGGGCCCAAGGCCCCCAAGCCTCCGTGCCATGGTAATGAGGGAACGTAGCTGCACTAGCCTCAGGGGCCCCACTTCTCTAGGATCCTGGCTCTCCAGCCACCTCAGGGCTGTCTCTAGACCCCAAACAGCTTCCCCGGCTGTAGGTACCAACATTCCTCCTTGCTCAGTGGCCTCTTCCTCCTCCTCCTCTCCAGCCCCCATGCTAGACGGCAGGCTGGCTGGGGATGGAGGGGCCGCGGGGACCACCTCCTCTCCGCAGCCCTCAGGGAGACCTCCATCATCGTCCAGGTGCAGCCACTGGGCCACCTCTTCAGGTGCCAGGCGCTTGTAAGCCAGAGCTGCCAGATGTGTGAGGTCACTGAGCACCCTGCTGTGTTCAGCGGCCTCCTCGACCTGGTGGGATGACTGCTGCCCAGGCTCAAAGGCCGCCCGAAGACCCAGCAGCCAGCAGCGCTCTATGCTGCCTGCCTGGACCAGGTCCCAAGAGAGGCCAGCCAGGTATAGCATGTCCTTGAGCATGAAGCTTCTCATGAAGTCCAGCGGGGAGCCGCTGGCACAAGACACAGCAAGCCTCAGCAGCTCTCGCTTGTACAAATGTTTGAAGGCTGCCACCACACCATGTTCCAACGGTGCGGGGATGTGAGCCTGGCTGCTGCCCTTGGACAAGAAGAGCACTCGAACGGCACCATCAGGTGTCTGCAACTCCTCCGGGGACCCAAGGAGCTCAGGCTGGCACTGCCTGGGAGTCTCCCCGCTCTCTTCCAGGGCCGGCATCCTAGTGGCCCAGCTTGGACAGGGTGGATGGGCCACCAGCAACACAGCCTTCTGTTGCAGGCAGCTTCGGCGCAGGTAGCGCTTGACGCCAGGGACAAATTCCTCAAAGAACCAGCCCCGAAGAAGAGGACGACTGAGCCAGGCATCCGGACTGTAGCGGTAGGAAGCTGGGAACTTGTCCTGGTTGTGGTGACGCAAGCTGGGTGGGTCTGGTAGCTGCCCGATAACTAGCGGTTTTAACTTGTGGCTGCCCGTCAGGTTGGCGGCCAACAGTACTGTCACTCGGTCTCCCGGCCAGCGCCGGCTGCACCCACCAGGCCCGCTGGCGTTCCCAGTGCCCGGAGTTGCGGCCTGCTCCGGAAGTAACCTCCAGTAGAGACCAGTAACGTTGGCGTTGTAGATCTGTTCGTCACCATAGCCGCCCTCGGAGTGGGGTAGAGTGGCCAGCGCACGGTCAGGTAGAACTGCGCCGGGTGGCTGTGCAGGCTCCTCCTTGACAGGCGCAGGGCCTGCGGCCGGGGGTTCAGCCTCGCCATAGATGCGCTGGCTGGAGATGCCATGGCGCTTCTGCCAGCGCCAGAACCAGCCATGGCTAGCCTTGAAGGTACACTCGGGGCCATAGATCTGGCGAGCAAAGGCCTCAGCCTGAGCTTGGATGACCGGACCGGACAGCGGCACGCCGTGCTGGCGCAAGGTGAGGAACCACGAGTAGACGGCGCGGTCGATCTCCTCCTCGTTGGCCAGGCGCATCTTCTTGCGCTGCGTGCCCACCTCTCCACCAAGCTGGTCCAGAAACCAGCGCAGCTTGGGCTCGTCCTTGAGCCAGCCGCGCAGCGTGCCGCCCGGTACGCCGAAGTCGCGGCACACGCTGGCCTGCCGCTCACCGCCCTTGACGCGCTCGATGGCCTGCAGCTTGTCTTTGATGGAGTAGGCCTTGCGGAAAGTCATTTTTACGGCCACGCGGGGCCGCGGCCCGGGCGCGGTGGGCGGCGGGCGCGCCGTGGGACCCTGGCCGGCAGCGGGCGATCGCTGCGGCTCGGCAAGGCGCCGGGGCGGGGGAAGACGAGCGCGATGAGGGACCGGGTGCAGGGCCGGGCCGGCCGGTGAGCTCGTGGGGTACATGGCGTCCGGGGGTGGGGGGACCACCGGGCTAGCGAGCCTGACACCCCGCGCGGGCCACTCGGGGCGGGGCTCGGGGGCGGGGCTGCCCGGGTCCCTCCCTTTTGTCTCGCCAGCCCTGCAGGCACAGGCGCGCTACTCCCGCCCCCTCCGCCTCAGGGCGCCTGCGCAAAGTCTGGACTCGGGCGCGTCAGCAGCGCGTGCGCACACCAGCTCCGTTTCGTGCCGCCCTAGTCCGGCCGCTCCACTCTTCGGGCTGTGCAGGGGTGCTGCGTGTTGGGACTCCCGGTTCTCGGCTGTTTGTGACAACTCCTTCGGGTGAAGTGCGGCGCCCGAGGTAGCTGTCCCCTGGCTTCTGCTATAGTGGTTCCTGCATGCATCGTGGTGCATGCTCCGCGGGCGAGGCAGCGCGTGCTCAGGGTTGTGTCCCCCGCCGGGCCTGTCGTGGTCTGTGCCGCTGCGTTTTCCGGGAGCTGCGCGGTCGCCCTCTCTTTCCTTTGCAGTCCTGAGCTCGCAGTTCCAGGTTTTGGTTGCTGCGTCCTTGGCTGGCGTGTGAGTACCGTGGGCCCCGCCTCAAGGAGCGCACGTGCGGCAAAGGCTGGAGTGCCCCGGGCCCGCGCCGATAGGGTTGGCTCCAGCGGATCAGTGAGGGCTACGGGCGGGCGTCTGGTCCTGTGTGGGGCCGGGCCGGTGGCCACATGGTTGCTAGCTTCCTGAGTGCTGCTTCAGGCGGCCTGCCACGGCCATGACTGACATCCTTGCCGGGTCAGCGTTCGTCTGCCCCAGCTGTTGCCAAGGTCCTAGGTCCTTGCGGTTAAGCACCGAGGACATACCGAGCCCTAGGCATAGAGAGAACTTGGCTTCGGGTGCAGCCTCGTGGAACTTAGGAGGCCCACGAACACAGGGTAGAGAAAAGGCGTGTGATGCCGACTGGCTCAGAATGTCATAGGGCTACGTACTGATTTGAATAAGAGGGTCTGGGCACTTTTCTTGGGAAAGGGTCGTTGAAGGGTACGGCCGTTCTTTTTCTAATACGCGAGCGCTCTCTCCTAGCATCATAGTTTTCTAGAATGAAAGGCTACCTCGCAGCAAAAGAACTTGTTGAAGCTAAATCTTGGGGTGCCACACCCCAGAGGTGCTTCCGAATCGTTCCTGTCACTCGGGGCTAACTGGGTCTTACCTCAGGCGGATCTTCATGGATGAAGCAAAGGATGGATGTGACAGGACCACCAGGTGCCCCCTGAGCCAATCCCATGGGGCAGCAGAGTCAAGAGAGGAAGAAGTCCTCAAAGGGACAAGGAGTCCCCTCCCAGGCTCTGTGGTGGCTAGTTCAGCATGAGCCTCCCCTTGGACTGCTGGAGACTTCAGTAAACAGTTGGGGGGTTGGCAGAGGGAGCCACTTACACTTTCTTAACCTGGGGTGTGTGCTCTGCATGACTTTCTGTCCTCTCAGGAGGAAGCTGGTACAGGGCTAATCTCTCCAGGCTCAGCTTTTGGATAGCTGAGGCTCCGGGGCTTACTACAGATGAAGCGGAGGTGCTTGAGAGGGCTTGGGTCTGATGGTCAGAGTGAATTGTCTCCTGGGGGCTGACGGCAGGAGATGGTGGCATTGAGCGTTTCTGCTGTGCCAGAGATCTCAGATGGTATGTGCTTGTTGAAGGTTGGAGTCGTTGAGACATTTGTGTGGAATACAGGTAACGGAGCATGCCTTGGTCTCTAGCTCCTCTCATCCCACAAACTCAGCGGATTTGGGTGGTTAGACCAATCAGAGCCTTAATTTTTCTTGTTAATTGTCTAAGATGTCACACAACCATCTCCCGCTTAAGTGTGAGGTTTGGCACAGGTGTGTTAGCAAGTGGAGAGGACGAGCTGAGAAAGGAAGAGCTGTCCAGCAAGCCTCAAGACCTGTGTGTCAGGTCAGGGCACCACGGGTTAAAACAGAAGTAGAACTCACCAACCATGGCATTTGGGACAAGGAGGTTGGGGCTGCCTGGGCTTCGGCTGGGCGTTAGCCTCTGGGTCTCAAGATGGGCTCACAGCACAGGCCAGTGTTTCTGAGTAGGACTGGGATATCCCCGGGGCAGAGTGGGAACTTGGAGAGGTAGGATTTAACCCGTGAAAAAAGACCAAAGGCATCATCCCTCCTGTGCCTAGGTAAGTGGCTACCCCACTACATGTCTGTTGTGACTAAAGAGCTAGCCTTTGCTCCCGAGCCCTCCACATTCCAAGGGCTACCAGCTGCCCCTTTGGACACTTGACACAGAAAGTATTGATGGGCAGCACTGGTTCGCAGGCTTCGGCTGGGTGAGCCCAGGGGGTGTTGCTATCGGGGTAAAGGGGTATGAGTTAGGCTTGCTGGCGGACCCCATTCCCTACTCACCTTCCTCCTGAGGGCGGATAGTATTGGGAGCCCAACAGTGATGTGACCGATGGAGTGACATGCTATTTCGGAATGTCCAGAGGACAGAACATACGGGGCTTAGGGCTCAGAAAGCCAGCTCTTAGGGAGATTTTTCTCTATCGTTCCCAGCACACGGAACCCTTCAGATGTTTGCTACTGTGGTGGGGCACAGCTGTGACATACCAATTCTCAGCTTCTCAGGGTCCAGTCCCCAAGCCGGAAGTGTCCTTGGCGGGAGCCACTGCCTGGTCTAAACTAGTAGAAGCGATGAGAGTCAGCACACCTGTGCTCTTCTTTACAGAGCAGATATATAGGTTGGCCCTCGGAGGCCGCAGCTGGCCAGTAAGCTCTTTTGGCTTGTGAGTGTGAGTGGGTTTAGGGCCGGGTGCTGGACTACATGGCCATGCCTAGCTGTTGAACATATCTCAGGACCTAGGACCTATCGGGTCTGTCTGCCACAGGAGCTGCCTGCTTCCAGGGCCCTCCAGAGCTCAGGTATTGTCCGCCTCTCACACAAAGGGTCTTGACCGCTCAGCTCTGGTGGCCAGTCTTGCATTCTAGACTCGAACCTATATCCAAGAGCAGGGCAAGGGCTGCTTAGGCCGTTTCTTTCTAGGTCCATTGGTGTGTCTGAGCCTGCATCTCCGGAACTTGGCTTTCCTTTCTGGTACTTCAGTCTCTTTGGCATGTGTTTCTGCTGTTGTCCAGATAAAACCTCAAGAGAAAGAAAGGGCAACCCTGTTGTAGGCATGTGGGTATTGGCAAACCCGTGCTTGTGGGGGTTTGAGAAATTCACTGCTGCTTGTCTTCAGCCTATTTTTCCTGGACAGCTACAGGTTTGCATATGAGTGTCCTCCTGGGATGCATGGAGTTCAGGTATGCCCAGTCTGGGTGCAAACTGGCTAAAGTCCTCAGCCTATTGTACACCTGTGGAGAAAGCAGGTTGGGGAAGGACCTTGTCCCTTGGGAGCCTTCGCTATTTGTGCTCAGGTCTTGGGTTGGCATCCCAACCCCAAGCTGGCACCATTTCCGTAAGAGGTCCAGTACCAGTGTGCACACTGGACCTTGGTGGCAGCAGAGCCCACAGCTTGGAGCTATCTGGACCTGGACCACTTGGTCCCTTGGAGATAGGGCAGTGGGGGAGTGTCTTTATCTTCCAAAGCCTTGCCAGTGAAGGGGAGATGCTGGTCTTCTTCCACAGCTAAGGGGTCATCCGTAGGTGCTAGCTCACCTTGATGCAGGTTGTTGTAGGCTCAGAGAAGGACAGGGGTGGGAGCAGGCAGCTTCCGTGGTGGTTTCTGCTTGTCTCCTAGAGAGTAGGAACCCTAAGAGCTACATATCGGGCTAACGGAAGAGTGCTGCCCCTCAAAGATGAGGACCAGGCAGCCACCTGGGATTTGGTGGTGCATCTCATTTTATCCACTTTTGCCATGCCACCTTGACGAGCAGCTTCTGAAAGGCCAGCCAGGCTGTGCCAGGCTGCCCGAGCTGCTGTCTGCCGTGGGTGGCCTTGCCCGCTCCTCTAACCTTGCTGCTTTTCCTTCATGCTGTCCTAGGAGGCCAAAGCAAAAGTAAGTACACCTGCAAAGTGCCCTGTGTCTCCCTTCACCTGCGCCAAGGAGCCCCCAGCCACCGCCTTGCCCGAGGGAGGCATACCCATGCCGAGTTGAGCTTGCTGGGACAGGGCAGTGGTGTATAGTTAGCTGTTCTAGTGGCAAGTGGGTACCCCATGTGGCCCTGACACCAAGCAGGCCAGCACGTAGCCCTCTGCCCCATGGAGAAGTGGTGGCCAGTCATGAAGATGTGGCCTAAGGAGGTGGCCCTGTCCCTTCCAGGGGGAGCATTGGAAGTAGCTACATCTGTTTCCTTCAGGAGGGTTCCAGCCTAGTCTAAGTTTGGTAGGGGGGCAGCTTAGTGGGCATCGCTGAAGGGAATGGTCAGCCTAGACCGGTAGTGCTCCACAAGAACAGAGCAGCCTCGGGGACCGAAAGCCAGGAGGTGGGCGTCAGTCAGGTCCTGCTGTGATGGCATGTACTGCCCCCTTGGCGACGGTGGGTGATGTCACAATGCTCTGCCTCCTGGGATCCTCCTCAGTCCCTGCCCCTGCCCCTGCCCCTTGGCCTTGGTAAGTGAGGGGGTGGCCTGGAGACCTCTCTGCGCTGGGCCTCTGGCTCCTGGCCCTGGCTCCTCACAGTAGAGAGCGCTTGGGTGGGCTGTACTAAAGACCTTTAGATCTCTCTTGGAGGTAGGCTTCAGGGTGTGACAAGTAGAGTTTTCCAAGGTCCTGAGCAGAGGTTAGATTTGGATAGCTTAACGCTCTTCCAGTTAAGCATTTTGTTGGTGTATTAGGAAAAGATCCTAGACGGTGAGGTGAAGGTTTGCTGTCCAGCCAAAGGATCCCCTCCCATTCCCTGAGAGCCCAGCAGATGGCCTAGGTGTTCCTTACAGACCCACAGAAGTAGCAAGATAGCAGCATCTGTACCCTAGTCCTTGAGTTTTGTTAGTCGAGTCCAGACTACAAAAATCTCGAAAGGACCACCCTTCTAGGGCAGGGTGGTGGCACTAAGAACTTCCTTGTGGCCTCCTGGGTTGGCTGGTAGAGCCTGGAACCTCCCTTCCATTCAGCTTCAAGAGTAGTGGAGGCGAGTCGTCCTCTCTGTGGCTATTGGTGTGTACTTCAGAGTCACACCCTGCCGAGGGAGCAGGTACCTAAAGTCACACACAGCTTGAGGTAACACC